GGCTTCCTGGAATCAGCCGCTGATCAGTTTCAGCAGCAGCTGACTTGGGGACACCTGGGTTTCTTAAGTTGAATCTGTATGTAAGTCAGAACTGGCGTCCAGATTCAGTCGCGGTTGAAACTGATCAGTTTCAGCAGTGGCTGACGCCAGTTCCGACTTACATACAGATTCAACTTAAGAACCAACCTACAGTCCCTATCTTGTACGTAACCTGGTGACTGCCTGTACTTTGTAAAGAACAAGGGGCTCCCATCAATGCTCTGGAGTAGATTCTGTCCTACTCCCTTTGCCATTCAGATGGAAAGGAAATATTGCTTGTAAATCAAATCAGGGATTTCTTCTATGGGGGAATCCTGCGAAGCGCGTGTTTTCACAGGAGTGAAACAGGCAGAGGTGCAGGTACTACCTATGCAGATGGAAGGAGTTTCTACACGGATAGAAATTCTTCTGTCAATCTAGTGCTGTATATACCAGCTGGAGTATAAGCTTACCTACTCTTTTCTAGGGGTGTATGAATTTCTCACTACCTGAGACATAGCTATACTGATGTACGTTCCCAGTGTGGACCAGCCCTCAGACATTGGAACTAGTGAACAAAGAACGTTGAGTGAAAGTGAATAGCCTTCTGTTTCTTCATTTTTTTATTCTTTGAATCACTTTGTAAGATTCTCACCAATAGCGTGTCGCAGTTTAAGAATTATGGAACTAGGATTTCAGCTGCTCATGTGACAAATGCAAGAGGAAAGCAGTAAGAGCACAAGCTATTTAAACTTTCCAGTCATAACAATCCAATTTTTTATTAGTTTGATTTGATAGTGCCCCTTTAATGTAACAATGGTGGGATGGAGACCGTACATCGTCCTGAATATATGCAACTACTTAGGTAAGCTTTCACATTGTGTTCTGACCCAGAGAGTAGATTCTTTAAACAATAAGCCATCTATACAAAATTTGTAAAAGTTTAGCAATACCAGTATTATTAAACAGTGCAACTCTCCTAGTTTGGACACAATTATACCAAGTATAAATATACGTACACAACATTGCCATATAGGAAAGAAAATAAGATATACCATTATAACTGCATCCGTATTGGCAAGATGAAAAAATTCACTTATAACCAACATAGAGATTGGACCTCCCTTATGGGGAGCCGATTAGGTTCCGATGGTGCTGGACAAGAGAATTTGCCAGACCAGGGGAGATCTGCCACCAGCCCCTCCCCCCCACCCATGCTGCTAACAGACTGCCCCAGCAGGCACCCTACACCTTGTCCTCCCCTTAAAACTTGCTGGACTCCTTGGCCAGCTATTGCTGGCTCCGAGTGGTATAGGCTTCAGCTCCAGGGGTGCCACAGGGCTTTCATCTCAGCCCCCGCTCTAGGGACTACTGCTGGGGTTCTGGCACCTCATTTCTGGAAGCTGCCAGGTGACTCTGGCCCCAGCCATGCATTCCCTGAGGCTGTTGTGGGGCATTGGGCCCATGCTGCTGCAGACTGCCATGGGGCTCTGGTCCCAACCCCACAAGAGACTCCAACCAAGAGACTCCAGCCTTGTGTTGCCCCAGGGTTGCAGGTGACTCCAGCGCCAGTCCTGTGTTGCTTGCAACTGAGTGAATGCCCTGTTTTCCTGAGACCCAGCTGGCCCTCCTGCCCTTAGGCTCTCTGGTCCAGGAGCATCTGTGGTCCTGCCAGACCACAGATGTTGCTGGACCAGAGAATGCAGTTTTTAGAGGTACAACCTGTAATGTCATTACAAAAGCTATGTAGACCAGGCCTATAATAGATTTTAGTATCAGGGTAAGGTCCTAAGTGGATAAATAAAAGATTAGAGAATGGGACCACCACAAAATTAGGGTGGCCGCTTTATTCTTTAGGTCAGTGGTCATAGACTGGTTGATCACGGAGGCACTTCCAATCAATCTCAATGCAGCGTTCCCAGCCCCTCTTGCTTCCCTTCACCTAGGAGCCCACACTGGTGCTACAACATCCCACCCCTCGCACAATTTGAGCCAAAGCTGGCTTCCTGTGGGGGGAGAAGTCACACAGCTCCGCACCAGATCCAGCTTCTCAGGAAGCCTGCGTGTGCTGCTCCTATCCTCCCACCACAGCAATGCACGTGCTTTCTTGTCTTGCCTTCCTTCCCCTGTGCACTAGAGAAGCAGAGTTGGGGGAAGAAGAGGATGAAAAATCCCCATCTTCCCCCCCCCCCCAACTTTCTACAAAAAGTCTAAATTATACTAGCAATGCTACCAAAGTGTCTTCAAACTGATCTGGAATATTTTGCAAAAATCCCCTGAGGTTCAATGTTGTCAAAAAGCAATATATAAAAATTCATAACTACCGATGAGGCCAACCAGGAAAGACCCAATTTCAAATAAATATATGCAATAGAATCCATGCCAATTGTTAAAAACTGAATCTACTCAACACATTGCTCCCAACCATCCACATAAGCTTTTGTGGTTAAGAGAAACTACCAGATGTTTGACCTTAACAGGATTCAGTGTACCTCAGCAAAAAGTAATTTAAAATGTTGAAATCCTGAAAGCTTACAAAAGTCTGGTGTCATGCATCTTTTTCCAATTAATTGAAAAAAAATACCTCTTCTCACACAGACCAGGACCACCTTAAGGTAACTGACACTTGAAATATCTTTTTACCCAAACTAAAAAGGATAATATTTTGTTACAAAGCTGGTAACGTGTATCTAGTTTTGCTCTCCAGTCTTTTAATTGATACATCAAAAGGACTGCAACTCTCCCACTCTTAGCGATTAATTTTTGATGCAATCTGTTATCTCTTCAATCTTTTAGCAGATAACGCCACTTTAGTAACAGATCCCAGCAATAATTAGAATGCAGGGCATTAGAATAGGGATGTAACCAACTAGTCGACTATCCCATAAGCAAATGCTTATCGATAGTCAACTAGTCCCTTCCCCCTCCCTTGCTGCCTCTATCAGAGAGAGGCAGCAAAGAGGGAAGGGGGAGGAGCAGGATCCACTCAGTTCCCCCCAGCAACTTCTCCATGGGCAGAAGGGGCAGGAGCGCAGCGGGGAACTGGCGGTGCTTCCACCTTTGAAATGTAGCAAGAGCCAGCAGGCGCACTTATTGACTAATCGAATAGTCAATGTATATTACATCAACTATTCGATTAGTTGATTAAATTTAACATCCATACTTTAGAACAACCCAAACCAAGATTCTGAGTTGTCTGGAATTAAATGTTTTAATCTATGCTTAATTTACATTTCCGCTGCAGATAACATTTTTAACTACAGTTCAAATTATTTTGCCATATTTCAAATGGCTTCTGGTGTTTAGCAAAGGGTGGCTGGATTTGAGTATGACATTACCTGTTTGAATTATTTCCTTTAAAAGTCTCAGAGAGATAGTCATGGTAGTCCTTAACTTTAAAAATCAGTAGTCCTGTGGCACCTTACAGACAAATATATATCTATTGGTTAGGCTTCTTGTTAAGTCATAAGACTTGGATTTGGATTCTGGTCCTGGCTTTGCTGCAGATTTATTTTATGACTAGATTTGTCCCCTTTTAAAGCACTTTGAGATCTTTGGATAGAAAATACTGTGTATAAATGCGAACTACAGATTTATTTTAATTTTTTTTTTTTTTTTTTTTTTTTTTAAACCTCTCCATTTAGGCCACAAGAAACCTTGCCTGACTGCATGCCACAAGGTGTAAATAACTCTTGTAACACTTCCAATGTTCAATTTTTTGTCAACCTGGAAGTCTGGGTGGAAGCTAAGAATGCTCTTGGGAAGGCTGAATCTGAGCCTATTGATTTTGATCCTGTGGACATTGGTAATTATATGCTTCATTTAAGATCCTCAAATACTGAAGAATTGCAGTAGAACTCTTCACTTCTCTGAATGTTGGTGAACTAGAGTGTGGATACTGTTTTTATATTGTAAAATATGTGAAGCAATTGGCAGCAGTAGAAATCCATACTCAGAAAAGTGGTATACTATGGATGTAAGCAACTAGTCGACTACCCGATAAGCAAATGCTTTTCGGGTAGTTGAATAGGAACTCAACTACTCGCTTCTCCCCACCCCCCTTGCTGCCTCTATCAGAGAGAGGCAGCAAAGAGGGAAGGGGGAGGAGCAGGATCCACTCAGTTCCCCCCAGCAACTTCTCCATGGGCAGAAGGGGCAGGAGCGCAGCGGGGAACTGGCGGTGCTTCCACCTTTGAAATGTAGCAAGAGCCAGCAGGCGCACTTATTGACTAATCGAATAGTCAATGTATATTACATCAACTATTCGATTAGTTGATTAAATTTAACATCCATACTTTAGAACAACCCAAACCAAGATTCTGAGTTGTCTGGAATTAAATGTTTTAATCTATGCTTAATTTACATTTCCGCTGCAGATAACATTTTTAACTACAGTTCAAATTATTTTGCCATATTTCAAATGGCTTCTGGTGTTTAGCAAAGGGTGGCTGGATTTGAGTATGACATTACCTGTTTGAATTATTTCCTTTAAAAGTCTCAGAGAGATAGTCATGGTAGTCCTTAACTTTAAAAATCAGTAGTCCTGTGGCACCTTACAGACAAATATATATCTAATGAGCAGGGCTCGCCGAACTGCGGCGAGCCCTGCTCACCAGCCACTCTGTTCAGCAATCTGTGCATGCACAGATCATTCTGTGCATGCGCAGATCGCCCGAACCTGGCTCTTCCGGGTTGCAATCTACTTGCCATGGGTGAGTAGATTGCATTATTTGTCAAGCCCTGCTAATGAGCTTTCATGAGCAAAACCCACTTCTTCTGTTGAAATATACTACATATATTTGTTAGTTTTAGGTGGCACAGGCCGACCCATTTTTACAATTATTTCCTTATTACCCATTATTTGACCAAACAAGTATGTGAAGGACTAGTTGATTAGTTGCTCCCCCCCTTGCTGCCTATCAGAAAAAGGCAGCAAAAAGGGGAGCAGGGGGAGAGAGTACTCAGAAGTGCCACGTGGAACCTAGGGTCAGAACCCAAGCTCCATGCGGCGCTGCCCCATTGAAACGCCTCATGCAGCCCAGGCCAGCTGGGGTGTCCCCAGGCTGCACATGGCATTTCTAAGTGGCAGTGCCACAGGAAGCCCAGGATTAACTAGGGACTCCCTCACTGACCCCAGGCTCCGTGAGGTGCTGCTGTTTTGAAACACCACATGAAGCCAGACACTGGGCTCCCTGCAGCATTTCAAAGCGGTAGCACCACCTGGAGCCCAGTCCACAAGGTGCTTTTGCCTTTGCTACACTTCAAAGGTGGAGGCGCGCTATTGACTAATCAAATAGTCAATGCAAAATGCATTGACTATTCAATTAGTCAATTACTCGCAATTTAACATCCCTAGACCAAACCTAAACATTTAAAGTGTTCAGTGTCCAGCATGTGACCACACATGCTAGAGCAGTGAATGTAAAGTGTGTTTATATTCAAAGTAGTTTTACAGACTTTTGATCCTTTACCATATCATATAGTAAAACAACAACTAATGCCTCAACACAGAGCAGCTGTTACAGCTGCTGTGAGAACTATGAAGGACTTACATCTTTAGAAGTCTCAACACTACATTATTGCTTCATTTAAGAAATATTTCCTGTAATGTGGACTTTTAGATACCACAATACAAATTCATTCTTTATAAAAAAGCAGCTCTGGTGCTGTCCATGTGCATAGTGGTTCATTTGAATGCAGCTATTCAGTTGCACTTGGAAGCCATTCTGCACTGTACAGCCTAGTAGATAAAACTGAAAGTTTTCCATTAACTTAATGATACCCATGTGAATTCTTTAACATCCATTCCATCACTGGAATAACGTTTGAGCACTTAAGTAAAACACTGTAATGTTAAGCCTACCATCCAAGAATTTCAAACATATCTATCTCCAGCCCACAGCAAAGTGTAGGTCCTACAAGTTATGCTAAATAGGAGATTCCAAGGGTGGTGAAGATAAGGAACAGGCAACTCCTGCAGGAGCAAATTCAGAGGCTAATGTTCCTCACACTTCAGGGTACAAAACCCCAGACAGAACGCAAATTAGGAACTGAATCTGAAATTTAATAAAACCATAGCAAGACAGGATTTGCCACAGAACAATTTGACAGAACGAGTTGAAGGAAAACTATGAAAAGGGTAAAATGAACCAAAAAGGTTTAAAAAATGTAAAGTTAATCTTAGCCTATTTATAAAAGTACTACCAAACATATCTAAGTTAACCAGGAAATTCATCAATCTCAGACTCCAGAGTCTTTTCTAGAAAGATAGTTATACTGTAATTAGTAGGGATGTGAAAGTATAGTTTTTAAACATATAAAAAATAAGCTCATGTTATTGATTACCCAAGCTCATGCTTATCCCTTAACCCAGCCACTACATGTGACTCCTGGTCTGGATTCCAGGATACTACCCCACATTGACACCCCTGATAGAGGCAGCAATGTGGGGCGGCAGGCGGAACAGACTACCACCCCGCATGTAACTCTGTAACCACTGAAGTTTCCAGCAGTTACAGTTAATCAATTACATGCATTTTAACATCTTCAGTAATTTGTCAAACCAGCTTGCAGCATTACTTCTAAATTCAATTCCTTGATCCTCATAGTGGATGCCTGAAGTCCACCCTACCTTTAAAGTTGCAGATAAGACCTAGAAGAGCAGACTCTGGTGCCTGGAAAAGCTATGTCAAACACACAAGGCAAGGGAATCGTATCAAACTTCTAGAGGCGGCAGGTTGGGTTCTCTGCTCTAGGCCAAGTGTAATTTGCCCGTCCACGGCCACTCAACACCGAGCTGCTCCCCGACTGGCGCTCGCACAAGTCGCCGGGCAGCACATGTCAGGCTGCCCAGGCTGGCCCCCCAGCCACTCTCCGAGGCTCAGCACCCACCAGAGACCTGCGGCCTGTCAGAGCAGCTCCGCCGCACAGAGCAGGGCTCCCCCATCACCAGCTACCGGGGCTCGGCAGCTAACGGGGTGGGGGAGGGAGGAAAGATACAGGAGCAGCCCTCCCCCTTCTGGGGGAGCTAAATCCCCGGGCCGCTCGCTGCCGCCCCAGCGCGGAGAGGGGTCCGCTCC